AAGTGATGGGTCACCACGGAGACCTGGCTTTGAACGATATCATTCGATATATGTTATCGCAATCGTTGGATTTCACCCCTGGCTTGAAATACCAGTATTGCAATCTGTGTTACAGTGTCTTAGGCCAGATAATTGAAGCTGTGAGTGGCAAAGAGTACAGAAGCTACATCCAAGATACGATTTTGACCCCTCTTGGCATGTGGCACACAAGGATAGGTCCTCATCATAGCAGTCGACAAATATACGGATCGCAGCCAAATCTGATACCGACATTGAAGTTCGAAGATGGATACATCCTACTTGGGAATGATTCAATTAATTCAGGCGTAAACTACGCATTGTTAGATTCCACATTAGGGTGGTATTCCAATGTCTATGATATGATGAGGTTAATGAAAGGTATTGAAGATATCATAAAGCCGGAGACATTGGAGCTAATGCTAGGTAAGCCATTCATATTTGAACATTCCGATACCTGGCACGGAATCGGTTTTAGGATTCATAACCACAATACATGGTGGCAAACGGCTGACTCGCATGACAATGAGCTTGTGCTTTATCATCAGAATGGTGGCAGTTCTGGCACTGGGCGACATAAACATAGTCCCAAACAAAGACTGAGCTGGGTTATATTTCTGAATGGAAATCAACGAAAAAATGTTCACAAACTAACAGCAGATATTGTAAATTCTGTGGAACAGTGGCCAAGTGATGATCATTTCATTGATGACTGCAGTGACTCTCTTCATGAGTTAAAAGATGGAAAGTTGGTTCTGATGAAGTACAGACTGCCTGAACACCATTTGCAGGCCTATGGCATTGCCCTCGCTAATTATCAATATTATCCTATATGGATAAGTGGCTATACAGTACAGGATAGAACATATTTCAGTATAATCTGTCAACAAGATCCCAAAACAGATCATCTTCACGTGCTTTACAAGTTGTTCTATGATCTTGATAGTTAGACGTGGAAGAGCTGTTTCGGGTATGGCCATCAATGATCTTGAAACGCAGTTTATAACCAGTTATGTTAGTCATCGCCATAACGGCCGTATTCGTCACATCATTGCCATGGGAAAACGTTCTCAGGAGTCAAGCAGGTTGGCTGGCATGAACGACTCGAGAAGTACAGTTCCCGAATTGAAGAGTGGAGAAATGTTGGTTACATGCCTGTTATACAGAGCATTAAACAGCACAATGGTCAAGATTACGTGACACTCTAGTGTCGGCTGAAAAACAAGCCAATTGGAAATCATACACGGATCTTACTGTGGAGGATCTGGAAAGAGCTATCAAACTAAATGCAAAATCTGAAAGAACTTTATCATACTTGGACACAAGAACTGATCACGACACAGTATTGTTTTCTGCTATTTTCCACCAACAGAAACTTGGTGGATGGCTGACACATGTGGACTTGTCGGAAGATCAGTTAATAGAAGAGATCAACATGCTCAGAGGACTGCCATACATTCCGAAGATTATAACTGGGTATGAGTTGGAAGGGAAATTACACTACGCTGTAATGTGGATGAAATATAACTAAAAACTTTGCATAATGATGAGATCATTTGCATAATTTATATTGTAGAATGGCTAGAGATATTATTTCTGTATATATTGTTATTGTATTGACCAGCAGTAATGTTTGTTTTTTACGTAAATATTACTACGTAATCACATACTGATACTAAGA